GAAGATGTTACCTAGCCGGGTAACAAAACGTTTGCAAGAAAACAACCAAGCTCAGAGAACCTCAAGGACTCCACAGGGGTTAATTTTTCAGTCTGTTTATGTTGTTGTTGTTGTCACTGGTGGGGGATGAGAATCATTGTTGGACCCTCTTTGAGGCCAACTGGCCCCATCCAATCTTTAAAACACCTAGCCCTCCTAACAGCCTGAAATCATCTTGTCAAAATTCACCCCCATTTTTCCACTGAATTTTGGTGTCTCGGGGGCAGAGCTGCATGCTAAAATCTGATTCAAGGAAACCACACTCTCCTTCATATGGATGTTGATATTATGTATGATTCACATGTCACATCATGTGACATGTGAAGCTAATGATAATATCAACACAGAAACAAAAATCCAGTTCCCAAGTTTTTCCAAGATGAAGGAATCCCCGTAGCAAAACTGTTTCAAACTATATTATAGACTCCAGGAGGACTCAGATTAATAGTTAAACTATAAACTATAGGAAATGTAAATTTTTTCCTAATTTGCTTCTTCCATGGCATTTACAGTCAACAATATCTTTTACAATAACACACATTCAATATTCCAATACATCTCTGTAACAAAAAACTTCTTACATCTTCCAATAAAGATGCCTTCACTTTTTATATTTATTTTAATTCCAATTATTTTGCAGGACGGATACAACTATGGGGACATCCAATTGCTGTAGATTGGGCAGAACCAGAAGTTGAGGTTGATGAAGATACAATGTCATCAGTTAAAATCCTCTATGTGCGAAATCTTATGTTATCTACTACTGAAGAAACAATTGAAAAAGAATTCAACAACATTAAGCCAGGTAAAAAAAAAAAAGCTCAGTCAATATTTTAGTAAGCTAGAAAGTTTAATAAACAATGTGCATTTATCTGGAAAAGCAGTTATTGCATTTATCTGAAAAGCAGTTGAAATATTTTGAATTTCTATGAATGTCAAAAAACTAAAAGCAAGTCAAAGAGCTATTTTATTTTCCATGAACAATATTTGTTCAAATAAATTATACCTTCAGTTGCCCATGCTAACTGTGGCTGATAGATAGTCCAACACATCTGGACTGAGACAGGCACAGAATGTAGTTAACTGTTTAAAATTGAATCTGATCAAAAACAGCACTAATGTTTGCCCAAATGAACATCACTACCAATTTTTAAATGGTGCATTCCAGAACTCTTGAATAAACCTGTTCTTTAAGATTCACAAACCATAATTTTGCTGTGCAAAACTGAAGCTCATTAACCAGCCACAGCACCAAGCAAATAATGAGTGTGACTCCCCCATTCAAAACCCCACTTAGAGATGCCAACCACACACAATCTCTAAGTCTAACCTACCTCACAGGCTTGTTGAATGCATAAAGAACCCAGTGCATTCTTTTGAGTTTCCTGGAAGAACTGTAGATAATCAAGCTGTCAATCAATAAGCATCCTGTACATGAGGGAGGATCCAGGTCTTCATGACCTTCCCAAAGGCCAGCAGGGCCGGGGCCTCTGTTCTTCTGGAAAGCAAGTGCCATGACAGAGAAGGCACACTTCCTGGGACTCATCAGGTGACACTGCTTCACCAAGGGGACCTGGAGAATGCCACATGTAGTGGGATGGGCAGAGACATTGTTCCTGTAGCACATTCCAGCCCTTCAAACTCACTCCCAGGCCCCAGTTGGCAGACTTTCAAGGCTCTGGGTTGTCAGCTGCTGCTGCTGAATGCCACATCAGTTTGTAATAAGGCCACCCTCATCCATGATTTGATAGTGGATGAGAAAATTGACCTGGCATGTATTAGTGAGACCTGACTGGGACAGAAGGGGGAGTGCCACTTTCTGAGATGTACACAGCTAGGTTCCAGGTGTGGCACCAGCCAAGACCCCAGGATAGGTGCAGTGGGGTGGCAGTGGTCATCCGAGACTCATGGGAGGCATCCAGGGGTACTGCTCCTCAGATTGGTGGGTTTGAGACCCTATTTGTTAAGTTGGGCTCTAAGAGGGATCAGTTAGGACTGTTGCTATTGTACCAGCCTCCCTGCTGTGTAGCAACATCCCTGCTTGAGCTTCTTGACTTTGTGGCCGGGTTGGCGGTAGAGTTCCCCAGGCTTAATGTCTTGGGGGACTTTAACTTGCCTTCTCTGGGCATGGGGTTGGAGACAGCTTGAAAATTCATGGCTACCAGGGCAGCCATGGGCCTATCCCAAGTCATCCAGGGCCTGACACATAATAGCAGTCATACACCTGACCTGGTTTTCTGGCAGAGCAGTGGCAAGTTGTTCTGAAATTGGGGGAGATACTGGTTGGTCTCCTGTCATGGTCAGATCACTCCCTGGTGAGCCTCCAGTTCTCTGGTGCCACTTCCCTCCACAGGCGACTGAAGGACCCAATCGGGTTTCAAAGGGAGCTTGGTTTTTTTCCGGGAAGTCTGCTTCATGGTCCAACTGAGGCCTCTTTAGGGAAGGTTGTGGAGAAAGTGTTTGTGTCACAGCTGCAGAGGACCCTGGATGAAGCAGATTATCTGGGCCCTTTTCAGTCAAGGTTCAGTCCGGGTTATGGGACTGAGACATCATTGATTGTGCTCTTAGATGACCTCTGGCGAGAGTGGGATGGGGGTTATGTGAACATCCTAGCTTCTCAAGAGACCTCTCAGTGGTATCGACCCCTTCAATACCATTGATCATGATATTCTTCTGGACCAGCTTCAGGAGTTGGGGGTGGGCAGCACTGTGTTGTGCTAGTTCTCCTCCTTCCTCCAGGGTCAGTACCAGTCGGTGTTGATGGGGGAGAGAGATCCAGCCTGTGCCCCCTACTTTGTGGGGTACCTCAGGGCTTGGCTCTCTCTCCTCTCCTATTTAACATCTACATGAGACGACTGGGTGAAGTGATCCGATGGTTTGAGGTGAGGTATCATCAATATGCTGATGATACCCAGCTTTATATCTCCACCCCGGGCCGCCTGACAGATGCCATGGATGTCCTGTCCCAGTGCCTGGAGGCTGTAAGGGTCTGGATGGGGTGCAATGGGCTTTAACTCAACCCAAGCAAGACTGAGTGGCTTTGGGCATTTGGGCCTTCCGGTGACAAGGTTTTTCCACCATTGGTCCTGAATGGGGTAGTACTCTTGGACTCACGGCTCCTGCTAGAAGAGCAGGTGGCAACCATGGGTAGGAAGACTTTGCACACCTTCATGTTGTGTGCCAGTTGTGTCCGTTCCTAGACCAGGAGGCTCTGCTCACTGTCACTCATGCCCTTGTGACCTCCCATTCAAACTACTGCAAGGCACTCTACATGGGACTGCCCTTGAAGAGCATTTGGAAGCTTTGACTGGTGCAGAATGTGACTGTGCGGGTAGTAAATGGTATCAGATATTCAGCACATGTAACATCACTGCTACATGAGCTGCATTGGTTGCCAGTGTGCTTCTGAGTGCAATTCAAGGGGCTGGTTGTCACCTTTAAAACCCTGCATGGCTTGGGACTGGGTTACCTAAGGGACTGTCTTTTTCCAGTTATTTCTACTCATCCAATTTGGTCCAGCAGGTTGGGCATGCCTCAGGTCCTGTCAGCCAAGGAATGCCAGCTGGCAGGGACTGGAGATGTCCCTTCTCTGTTGTAACCCCTACCCTCTGGAATATTCTCCCTCCAGAGACTAGGATGACCTTGACCCTGTTGGCCTTTTGTAAGGCTGTGAAGACCTGGTTATGTGCCCAGGCCTGGGGCCCTGAGTGTGTTAAGGGACCCGTTCCTTGGCTATATTGGCATCTATGGCAATAGTTTTACTTGGCAACCATATTTATTTATTTTGTATTGTTTTAATTGTTTTACAGTATGTTTTTGTGATTGTACGCTGCCCAGAGTCGCTTGTTGAGATGGGTGGCTGTAGAAAATAAATAAATAAATAAATAAGTCAAGTCACTTGGCTCCATGCCATGTGGGCTTCAGAGCTGACAATGCACATCTTGAATTGCATCCAGAGGGAGTACAGCTCATATGGCAGCAATGTTCCATGAGTGAACTATGGTGTGCTCAATACTGCATATGCTGTTGCATTCTGGACCTGTTAAGTCTTCCAAATGCTCTTCAAGGTCACCCCTATGTAGAGTGTGTTCCAGTAATACAATTGGGAGGTGATTAAGGCATGAATGGTTGTGAGTATCACCTCCCAATCTAGGAACAGGTGTAACTGGTGCAGAAAATGTGCAAAAGTTCTCTTGGCCATGGCTGCCACTTGCTCTTTGAGCAGGAGCTGCAAGTTCAGGTGGCTCCCCATATTGTACCAACTCTGCCTTGGAAGTGTAACCCTATTCAGAGTTAATGATGGGAAACCCCTAAAACTCACAACTGCTAAGTCTTTGTGGGGATTGAGCTAAAGCTTCTCCTTCTCCATCCAGATCAATGTAGCCTCCTGGCACTAGGAAAGCACCTTGATAGCATCACTTGGACAGGATGGAGCAGAGATGTGCAACTGAGTAACATCAGCATACTCATGATATTTATCCCTATGTTGATGGGTAAACTCACCCAGTGGTTTCAGGTAGATGTTAAATAGAAGCAGGGAGTGGAGCTGAGTTGAGCCCTGTGGCAAAGATCCTTTCCCCCTACCAACACCAAATGGAACTGGCCTTAGAGGGAGGGGAAGAACCACTGGAGAACAGTGTCTCTCATTCCTAGCCAGTCCAAAAGGATACCATGATTGATGATATTGAAAGCCACCAAGAGATCATGGACAGCCGGGGCTACCCACATCCTGGATCCATCAGAGATTGTCTGCATGTGCTTGGTGCCATATCCAGCCTGAACCCCAGATAATCCCAGCTTCTTCCAGAGCCCTCTGGAGCTGGAGATTTACCACCTTCTCAACAACCTTCCCCCAAAAAGGAAGATTGGAGATTGGATGAAAATTATGTAGTACAGTTCAGTCATGACCTCTTGAGAAGGGGTGAAGCACTGCTTCCTTTAAGGCAGGCTAGATCACCCCTTCTGCAAGAAGGCATTTACCACTGCTTGGACCCAACTACATGTCATCTCCCAGGAGACCCTAACCAGCCAGGAGGAACATGGATCTAACACACGGGACTTACGATCCCAAGGAACCTGTCCATTTCCTCAGGAGTAATCAGATTGAATTTGGCCCAGATAATTGAACAAGACTGGGCCCCAGTTATCTCCATGAGACCAACATAGCTGGAATTTAACTGAGTAGATCTAAGTGACTTTGTCTGAGAGATGCTCAGCATTATTCCCACAACAGCCCTATAAAGGATCCCCTGAAACTTGCTTACAGAAGGGACAAGTCACCCGACATAGGATTGCAAGGCAGCTATCCGCAGATGTACTAAGGGCAGAGAAATAACTTGTGTTTGAAGGGGTGAGGTGTGCTGTCACTGAGAGGGATTTGGGGCTCCCCCTTTCTTCTAGCTCTTAGCAATATGCTGGCATGATTAAGTAAATCATTTCCAAATAATGAGTTTGGAAAGCAATGAGGTTTGTCAGTGTGGCCTGCACAGAAACACGGGGAATACAAGCAGGTGGGTTGTTTTGTTTTTGTCTTTCTGATGAAGAAGTGGATGCAAGCTGTGTTCAGGTATAGTCCTGGGGGTGGATCGAGGTACTTTCTTACTAACTGGCAAGCAAACTCTGATTCACTAGCAGTTATCTCTGCTCAGCTGTTGGCTAGAAAGTGCAAGTGCTGACTAAGGACTCATCTATATAACCTCCTTGCCGTGGTGCAACAATGCCCCAGAAATCTTTTCATGATCACGTGTCATGTACCCCCTCCTGTATCTCAGTGATACAAGGATGAGTTTAGGTGCTCTGGTACTCAAGCAGTGTTTCCCATCTTTCATGGTTTGAGTCACTCCCTGCAGACAACATGGAAAGCTTTCCCATGACATTTTCTGGATCAGTGATCTGATGTTAATGATTCTGCCGTTGTAGTGTTGGACAATTCCCTTCCTTCTGTCAACCAGAAGAGGAGCAGTGGTTGAGCCATGGAAGAGCATGGCTTTCTCAGACTCTACTTGTGCCAGTTTTGGTCAGCCTCACAGAGCCCCTCTGGAGCCCAGGAAGTCATTAGAACTAAGGGGGATTATGTGCAGACCACTGTTCTCAGCTGTCAATTTATCCTTGGACACTGGGATTAAATGTTGTGGTTCTCATGCTTTTAATCCACACAGGTGAATCTTCCCAGAGTCACCTGTATGGGATGGGTATCCAGGAGGGAGGGAGGAAGGAGAGAGCAGGGTTTTCCTGTCATGGAAGCAACCATTGCTAAGGTTGATCAGTCGGTCTAAATGTTAAAAGTATAACAACATTCCAACCTGAACTGGGAATCTTAAACTCTTTTAAGCAGTGAAGGGAAGAGGAGCAGAGAAGGCAAAAGGCCCATGCTAGGTAGGGAGTAAGCAAGCATTGTTTATTTATCTGTTAGGTTTTTATCCCATCTTTATGTTTGGTCAACTCAAGGCAGCATACCTACTTAATGCTCCCACCTTAATGTTTTCCTCACCACAACAATGGTGTGAGGTGAGCTGGACTGAGAGAGAGTGACTGGCCCAAAGTCAGCCAGCCAGCTTCTGAGGCTAAAGGAGGACTAGACCAAACAGTCTCCTGGTTTCTAGCCCAGCACCTTAGCCACTCCACCAAGGTGGCTTGTTTAGAAGACAAGGAATCCTATCACATCTTTCCTTCTCCTTGCTCCTCAACAAGTAAGGAGAGGGTTGGGTCTGGGGAATCTTCTCTACACAGCACCTGTAGTCAGAGAGGATGTTGTGTGCTGCTTTTTCAGGGAAGAACAAAAAGCAGGGTCTTCTTATATTGTAAGCACTGTTTCCTCCTGTCCCAGAAGAACCCATCCCTGTCCTACTTCGTGTGCCAGCTGCAGGAATGTAGTAAAAGCACTGCTCCTGGGGTGATGGGAGGAAAGCCCATCTCTTGAGGTATTTGGATGAGCCCAAACAGGTGGTTTTCTCTGATTCTAGACTCACAGATACATTTCTGAGCTCAGAGCACTCAGCACAGATCCAAATAGATTTGAAAATAGTTAAAATAGCCTGGATCAGCCTCAGGTATATTTTAAACAGAAGAGAAATAAGTCAGAAAGGATGGTCATCTTGAAGAGACCTAGTGTATTGGAATGGTGTTTGCTCCTGAAAAAAAGAAGTGCTGATCCACGATCACACGCTTCAGGCCCTGTTGAAAGTGAGTCTTTCCTTTAGCATCTTTTGCTTCTTCCGATGTGACTGTGTTTGAGTTTGAAGCTGCTCCCCCATAGTAACTTCTCTGTGTATAGCAACTTAATTATGAGATCCTGCATTCACTCTCAGAGCTTTGAAGCAGAGGTTGAAAGTGTTCTGTCAACAGGCCCATATAATGTTGTGAATTCAACAACATCAAGTAGGGAATTGTCTTGTATTCACACACTTGAAGAATACCAACAACTTCTCAGCGGTTAAGAGTATTTGGAATGTTTAAGGTCAGATGCCAATACTTTGCAAGCATTTCTTAATGAATTGCTGGCATGAGAGGTCTTTCAATTTACAGTAGGCAATAATGGGAGATACGAGAAAGATGCCAGGTTTTTGCTGGCAGGCATAAATTGCCTGCAAATTGGTTGTTGCTCAAAAGATGAAAAGAAAAAGTAACAGAATAAGCCAGCAATTATAAGGTAGTTATGTTGGGTGATTTTTGCTCGTCCCTCTGAACATTGATATATAGGGTTCAGATCTATGCACCATGCTGTTTAACATCTAGAGGAACTGCTGAAGCAATCTCAGATCAAGATTTAAACTTCATTGCCATCAATATATGGATTGCATCCAGTTCTACCTCTCCTGTCCATCATGTGCCAGGAAAGCTTTGATATTTCTAAACCACCTAAGAAATCAATAAAGTTTTCCTACTACTCAAGTTTCTCTCAAATAAATGGTTCCTAGGCTATCAGAAAGCTGTAATGTATAACTACAGTAGTCCTTCTTTCCCTCTTCAATGGATTTTTTTCCTGGAAAGAAAAATGACCAAAAAGCAATGGGAAAACAGAGGGAGAAGAATTCCAAATGGAACAGTGTCTGCGCCCCTAATATTGTGTGAATGAGACATAACCATCACACATCCTAATAGCCACAACGCTGCTTTATGGTAATGATCTGTATTAGGCTTTAGCATTGTTCCCTAATGCATAATCTCTTGGGGAAAAGAGATTGTCACCCCCATAGTTTCTGATTTTGTTTTAGCGCATTTATTTATTCAACTAAAATATTCACACCTCTCATCATAAAACTACAAAAATAATAAGCAACACTGTAAAAGAATTTTGAGTTAAAATTATTTTACTCCATTTAAAAGGCAAATATTAGGAGAGGTACTAGATGGAAAAGCTAATAAAATACACCATTGCTGAATTATAGCACATGAAGGCAGGTCATTCCATAAAACAGGTGCCACTACAGAGAAGGCCCTGCTTCCATGTCATCACCCAACAGCAATCTGCTGGCTACAGCTGGAAGAGCAGCATCTCCCTGCCACTGATGACAGTAACACCCAGGGAATGGTATAACCTGAGATCTATTTGCTTTTACACTGTTTACCTACTGGCTTTTTGTAAATTATTGGGGGGGGGGATTGTAATTTATTTTCCTAATTTTATAAGCCTCATTAAACCAATTTTTTAAATATATTAAATAGATCTACTAAAAAACAAATTAACCTACTTGGTGCATGGATGAAAGCTAAATTCCTCTGGGGGACAAGGCCAGTACTCCAACTGGCATTTTAAAAGACTATAATCTCCAAAATCATTTCATTAAACCATTTGATAAAATATTGATCAGTGGCCAACAGTTATACCTGGTCATTAAAACTGAGCACAGGTGTTTGCTGAAACAAATTCAGACTACAAATTCTCTGGTAACGTCACAGTTCCAGAACTTGAATAGAGAAGCAGAAATACAAGAGAAGGCTTGATACTTTGTTTTAGAAAGCTACACACTTGACTAAATGTATAGCTTCTCTCAAAAGATTTTGGTTTTACCTCTAGATTTCCTGGAGATATACAGTATGTACAATTATTCAGTGTAAAATGGTTATTTATATGGCTTGATAACCTCCTTTAATCCTAAGGATTTAATAGTAAACTCTATTTCAGCACATATTTAATTCTGGGCTGGTATCAAGATGTTGACATCATTAGGCATCCGTTGAGGCCACTTCTCAGCACACTTCTGCAAAGCTTGGAGTCCTCATGCCATGTATCTTTCCTTTTTATCCTACAATGGGGGTATACTATTAAAATGTTTATCAGTTACATAGAATATAAATATTTTTTTACATTAAGCCCTGGCCTTCCTTAAGTCTCAGATCACTGAGAATCACTGAAACCGGTGTAGGCATCCAGAGCTTGTCCCCACAAGCATCCCACAGAATCCAAACTTCAGAACAGTCAAGGCTGAACATTTTTGACCAGGGAATTTGTTTCGGAGATGCTAGAAGCCTTTTAAGACTTGCAAAGGTTTAAGGCATCAGAAACGCCATTTAACACCCTCAGTCCCCTTAAAATGGCATTGTTTACCCTTTTAGAGGAAGATGTTTAAGGGGAAAAACAATCCCTGTTGGACATTTTCATTTTTAACACACACACCAAAGCTAAAAAGAAAAAAAATGAAAAACGAGGACAAACATTTGCACTCAGACTACTCCAGTTATGCCACAACCCCATGGGCAATTTTTCCTGTGTTCATAGGAAAAAAGAGGAAGTGTGATTTCCAGAAAAAAAAAGGTTGCCCATCTGTGCCATGTACAGGAATTGCTTAATATGATGCCATGATGCTTCCTGCTATGCAGAATAGGATATATAGAAGGATTCCTTACTGGATGCAGCAACTGCTAAATATAGCAAAGCGGGGGGGGAGCACAAAACCCTAAACTACTAGACATTCAAACACAGCACTTATGGTTCTTGGTTTATATTGCCAGGATTTAATCGTATGCAATAGAAAAATCATAATTTAAAATTAAAGTCCAAAGTCCAAACTCAAAGACAGAGTATAAGTGCATGCTTTTTACTACAGCAATATGCATGACGGATCTCTCCTCCAAATCTCTTCTACAGGTTCAGTGGAACGTGTGAAGAAAATTAGAGACTACGCATTCGTGCACTTTAATAACCGAGAAGATGCTGTGGAAGCCATGAAAGTCTTAAATGGGAAGGTAATGATGGATTAGTTCTGCAGTTGCTGGAAGGCACAGACAGAGTTGCATGCATGTTGCATAATATGGTTCATAATGTTGGTTCTAGTACTGGTAATTCTGCTGGTGGGTTGGGGGGGGGTGCACATCAAATAATGAGCACAATAAAAGGCTTGGCAGAGAGTTTGATGCGAATGGCTTCATTTTGCACTCCAGCAATTTTTATGCCATGAAATATGTGGTTCATTGTTGTTGAGATGTTGAGATGCCTGATAGACCATTAGAGTCAACCAAAAGCAACTGTATTATTTATAATCCTATAAATGTTCAACTAACAAAATACCAGTCTAAACTAGTCCATTTCAAATCTGTGCAATTTATTTTCAGAAATACCAGGTAAGCAGAGTGTGCATGTGTGTGTGTGTTATGATGCACCTCTCCTGTTGTTCTTCAGACACCTCTGCAAGCCTTACCCCACTTATACAGACAATCTTCATATCAGGGATACCAAGAATGTATGCCAGTAAATCCAAATTTATCTATTCAAGGAGAGATTTCCAAAAACGATAGTTCCGTCTGCACATATATGCTGTTATACGGAGGCATATCCAACTGTTTCCCATATATGGACAAGATGGAAAATATAACAGGATCTCCATAGATGACCTCAAATTATGAGGAGCTGAGTTACAGACTAGAGGAGGCATTTCTTTAACTCCTGTTGGCTCCATTGGTATATGCGTGCATGTATGGGTTACTATCTACTATTATATGAATTATTTTTATGCATCCTATATCTCATACTTCTTCTTTGTATTTCCTTTTTGTCTTCAAGGTGTTGGATGGCTCTCCCATTGAAGTCACATTAGCAAAGCCAGTTGACAAAGACAGTTATGTTAGATACACCAGAGGTACAGGAGGACGAGGAACAGCATTGCCAGAATTTACCTACACATTTGGCCATGTCTATGATCCTGCCACAGCTTACCTAGGAGCTCCAGTTTTCTATGCACCACAAGCCTATGCTGCTATTCCCAACCTTCATTTTCCTGCTACTAAAGGCCACCTCACCAACAGAGGCATTATTAGGCCTTCCTCCATTAGAGGTAATTCTATTGAGCAACGCAGAATGTGTCAGTGTTGTTATTTGGTTGAACTGTCCTTCAGTTTTCTCTTTTGACAGGTATGTTTTGCTATGGGATGGTTCACCTTAATAAACACCCATGTTCTCTCATTTATACATGCACACCCATTTTAATTAAAGATCTTTAATGAACTCCGCATTGACCTTCAAAATAAAATTAGCCCCACTAGTTGATATGTATGGAAATGAAATAGATGATCCATAGAATCTTAGGTGATGTGATGTATCAGCTTTCTCCAATCCGGTATATTTAAACTATGTTAGAGTACATCTCTCAGGATTTCCAGTCAATATGGCAATGCCAAGTGGATATTATAAGAGTTGTAGTTCAATACATATGGAAGGCACAAACAGGAGAAAGGTTTAACGTATGATTGAGATTTAATTTAAAAAGCTTATCTCAGTCAACATTCAGTGTATAACTTAGGTTGCTTACAGGAATGTTGAAGGAAAACCTGATCCAAGAAGAATTCATAACAGAATTCTTTTGCATCTCTAGTAGCAAGTAGCAACTGTGTTTAGAGTTGGATCACTTGATAGAACATGAAGCTCTGCTTAAAAAGGAATGGAACAGACTGTTCTGTATGATGTAGAGCTCGACTGAGTTTCCTTTTTGGGAAACCTTGGGGAAGTTCAGACATTAACAACTAAAAAGTCACATGCTCAGATTTGTTTCACAAGTGCAGCATCACATGATTAACTTTATGTATGGCATCATGTATCAGACAAGATTTTCATATCACTTTATGCCCTTTCAACTCAGTAGTTTTCAGCAGACATGTCCATTTCTGTGGACTCAGTGAGGAAATATCAAGTAATATATATGGATATGTGAATCATCCCCAAATTCTAACAGGACTGAACTAATTGCAATGTGTGATAGGGATGAGGTTGGTAAAATTATCATGTCAAAGGTATACATTAAAACTGAAATGCTTAACTTCAAAGCTCTATTTTTTTTTCAGTCTCTACAGCAATTGTAACTTGGGAGTCACTGTTCTTTACCTATAAATGAAAATCCTCTTAGAAGTGGCTCCCAGAAAAAAATTGAAGATGAGATAGTAACTGCAGAGAAGAGAGCAGATAAGAAAGTAATTTAGAATTAGTCCATCGTATTCAGCCACTGAGTCTTCAGGCACTTAATAAAATGGAAAGTGGGAAGGCCTATGTTATGTTAATAATGGCATAACTAGAATTCAGTGCAGAAGCTATGTAATTGTAAAATAATATTGTGATTGTCCCTTGCTATACATTGCAATTCTCAGGTTCAGTGTCTTTTCTAGCCTGAAACAAGTTTAAATAGAAACTGGGAAACCCAACATCTGTGAGGCGAAGGTACAAATACTAAGAGTAATTAGAAGCCCACAGAATACCACGTTCACAATAAAATCCTATTGGTAGCTGTGCATATTGCTGTGAATTATCACCCTTCACTTCAAAGGCAATAAAGAGAGGATGTGCTTTGTGTACTGATACTTCTCAGTGAAGTATCTTCTATTAAAATATATTTAATACGTTCTATTAAAATAGATCAAGAAATGTTAATGTCAAGAGCTGAAACTCTCAGTGTTATCATAGATTAAGAATTCAATCCAATGCCTGTTTATCTGTAACTAAAACCTTGCTGTGTTTGGTAAAATTTACTCTCTTGAAATATGCATCAGCTTGGAGTCTAAATCAGTGTTTCTCAACTGTGTCAACTTTAAGATGTGTGGACTTCAACTCCCAGAATTCCCCAGCCTGTTCTAGTTTACAGACCTGCTAACTAATGTTACAGATATTTTCTCCTGAACTAGACTTTTTTCCCCTTGCCTCACAGTGAGGCCCAGTAGAAGGTTACTCACTTTGAATACTCACATCAAAACTCCATATTAAGCCTGCGTGTGCAATCAAGCCTTCCAATACTGTAAGAATCAGGAAGATTTTCCTGTGATTTGATTCAGTTTAATACCTTCTTACATTCCTAGAAATTTACATGAATGTACCTGTAGGGGCTGCTGGAATTAGAGGACTAGGCGGTCGAGGCTACTTGGCTAACCCTGCCCTGGGTCGTGGATACCAGCTTAAAGGAGAAAAAAGAGGGGAGGACAAACTCTACGACCTTTTGCCCGGAATGGAGCTTACTCCAATGAATCACATCAGTTTAAAGCCAGAAGGAATTAAACTTGCTCCACAGGTGGGTAAAACTGATGGAAAAGAAATGTTTCAACTCTTGGGTACTGCCTTCCCCGTTCCTATAATAAATCTTTGCCGACTGAGCATTTTTTGTTTTTTTCCATTTGATTTTCCTGCATCTAGTTTTGACATGGAACAGCACTCCTAAAACAGTAACATTTCTACTCAAGTCCCTTCATGAACTGGTGCACAATCAGATTAGGCTGGAGATACTGGCAGATTATGAGAAGTCATCCGTTAAAACACATTCTTTTCTGTACAGACAATGCCATGTTATTAGCTGAGAACCCAAATGACTTGCAGTGAACATTAATTTGTACAGATCTGAAAAATTCATTATCAAAGGCCAAGATATTTGTGTTTGGCAGAGAAAATGGAGTGAATGATTGCAAGGTTTTTGTTTCATTTTAAGTCTTTGAGTCAATCCTGAGTCCAAGTGAATTTATGGAACTTTCCATGCAGTTTTCTTGGCAAGACTACAATGGTGGTTTTGCTACTGTATTGCCTTTTTCCACGGTGCTTTTTGATTTTCCAGTTTAAATCTGAAAGGGAGTGACTGGCCCAAGATCATCCCACTGGTTTCCATGCCTAAGGGAAATTTGGAACCACGGTCTCCCCACTCCTAGTCCAGTACCTTAACTGCACCACACTAGCTCTTAAAACTAAAGCAAGTGTCTTTAAAGCAAGTGATGTCTTTTAGTTGCATTTGTTTTAGTATTTTGATTTTATGATTGTTTTTATTGTAAGCCGCCTAGAGTCACTTTACTGTAAGGTGCGCAGCTATATAAATATGACACATAAATAAATAAAGTAGACAAAGTTGTGTACTTTGATAGAATATTTACTAAAGGTGAGAAAATGGATGAAGAAATGGATGAAGAAATTTTAAAGATGCTGATAGAGAGGTTGCAGACAGTATGTAGTCTTCTGCAAGGAAGGAATGTATGTTGAAAATGTATGGCTATGAATAAGAGCATGCTTCTGCCCCCTTTGTTATATGGAAGTGAATGTTGGAGAAACAGAAAAGTTGAATGCAATGGGAATGGGGTCCTAAGAAATATATGTAATAAAACAAACAGGGGTCACAAATGAATGGGAGCTGAATGAATGCACACTGAACACAAAAGAGAATGATCAATGCAAGAGAAGTAGGTTGAAATAGTTAGGATCAGAGAATGATTGAGGACTAAATTGCCCATCAAATATATGAAGGGAGAGTGAATGGGTTGGAACTGATGAGAGGTGAAAAGCAATGTATGAATCAGTATACAGTATGGCTGAGGTGGAAGAAGGATAGCTTGTACAAATAGAAATGTATGGAAGGGTATAGTGAATGGTATCGGTGTCAAGGCAGATTTGGGGGGGGGGGTCCTTATCTCCTGCCTGGAATGTCTATTCTCACTACTTCTTACTCTTTTTCTGTGATTTGCCTAATGTCACTCCATAAGGAAATAGAGTGATGTGATTATATGTATGTAAATATCATTAGATTCATTTTGTCATTATAGATATTAGAAGAGATTTGCCAGAAGAATAACTGGGGACAACCTGTTTACCAACTTTATTCTGCCATTGGACAAGACCAAAGACAACTCTTCTTATATAAAATCACTATTCCTGCCCTTGCCACTCAGAATCCTACAATGTAAGCAACTGTTATAGCCATGGGGTTTAACTAGGGCAGAGGGGCTTTGTAAATAAATAATTACAATATATGAAAAATTAGAAATTGGATCAGAAGAAGAAGGATGAGAAAGAGCAACAGTAGTAGCGTCTAAATGGAAATTCCATTAAAACGTAAATATCTTTCATGCTTAGGTTTCAAAATAAGTCATACTGAATTTAGATACATCTATGTATGTACATGTATCTACAAGTGTGTGCATGTGTATGTGTGTAACATACATACAGTCTTGGAAAACTGGACAAGAATAAAAATGACATTTAACCATAAACTAGAGAGGTGGATACCTTTTAATAGCCCAACCAGCATGGCCAGTGATGAAGGATGCTGGGCCTTACAACTCACCAGCATCTGAAGGTCCAGAGGTTCACTATAAAACCTAAAATATACCCTGCCAAATGGCTTCTCAACGAGCCAAGAATTCTACAGTGCTAAACTAATTCTGCATGGCTTGGTATCCGTGCCTTCTAGCCTGACAAACTGAGGCATATGGATTCTCCATGGTCGTTTGTGTAGAAATAATGTTTTAGTTTAAGACTCCTAGCTAAATGGGGAAGTTTTCTCATCATTGTTGGGATTCTGGCACTTAATCTTATTTTATATCTAATGTTACTGTTCAGTGCAAGTTCTAATCCCCCTAAATGCTACTTTTATGGTTAAAATACCATACCGTGAATTCTAAAAGCAGATGCAGGAGCCAAAGAGGGTGAAAAAGAAGCCCTTGACATACTATCGCATTTCCACTAACTCTTTTCTCTGGTTAAATTAAGGATTAACAAAAAGCCACAACAGAAAGGCATTGAAAGCAGCAAACGGTGAGAAGAGAAACACTTACTAGAAGTGCCAATATTGGCTGAAGTCCAATGCATTGCATAAAAAAATCTTTCTTTCCTTAGTGAGGTTCAAAAAGCGTACATAAAAATATACAAGATTACATCTACATTTCATGATAAAATAATTTAAAAACACAAGTCTGTATCCATTTTTTTGCCGGTAGGATTGATCAATATAGGATTATATTTCCACAGAAAGGTTTAAATTAAGCAGTGAGCTTACCTAGATAATGTTTTAGCTAATTTAGTTCAGTTTATGTTTTAATCAGAGACATAAAAAGTCTCTACTTCATTGTAAGGGGAAAAAAAATTACGGAACTAAACCCCAAATTCCAAATTGTTAGAAACAATGTACTAAATATCATCCCTCCACCCCCCCACCCCCCCAAAAAACCCCAGAAAGGTGAAAGTAGGGTGATGTTAATCAATATTACTAAAAAAAATAATCCCCTCCTGCCCTCATGGGTGGTATGTGTCTTCCTCAATCTTGGGTCCTCTACCAGACGCCTGGGAATTTGAGGGTTCTGCGCAGCATCTCAGCTGTTCTTAGCACTGCACTCTTCTGCACAGAGAGCTCTGATGTTGTTCCTGGGATGTGTCAGAGCCACTCTCCCAGCTTAGGAGTCACAGCCCCAAGTGCTCCTACCACCACTGGGAACACTTTGGCCTTTACTTGCACATCCTCTCTAAGCCCTGGTACCTCTCCAGCTTCTCATATGCCTTCTTCCTGATGTTGCTATTACTTGGCATTGCTATATCTATCACCATCACAACCTTCTGGTCCTCTCTGCACAGTCTGCACCTTGGGTCCTGTCTAGTGTGGTAGACCCCTGCTTCTGTGGATCTGGTGCTTAGTGCCTGTTCTTGTGCTGCTATGGTCACTGCCTCAGTGCTGTCTCAGTCCAGCCCTTTCCAGATGCTGGTAGGATTTCCCAGTGTCAGCCACCACAGTTATCAGTTGATGGTAATCCCATGCAGGGTCTTGTCTTGCCATGGCACTTCCTCTGCTTGAACTTCCTCCCATGTCTGCTGCTGCCTTAGACATTCTCTCAGCAGCTCATCTTTGGGTGCCATCTTACTGATATACCCCTGGATGCTCTGTGTTTCATCCAGGACAATGGCTTTGAGATAGATAGATAGATAGATAGATAGATAGATAGATAGATAGATAGATAGATAGAT